AGCCAGGAAGACAAACCACAGATCAGGGCCAGGTTCCTGAGCATGGTTAGAGAATTCTTGCCTTGCAGGGAAGGCTCCTGGGTGTGGGGAGCTGTCAGGGGAGGCTGATATGGGGAAGACTTATTAGTGCCTTCAGAGCCGGTGCTAACTGGTGCATCTTCTGCACCGGGAGGTGCTCCCGGAGGTGGCACAGCTGCCCGGTCAGGGTCTGACAGCGCCGCACGTGATGGGAATGCAGCTCATGCCCGGAGGCCACGGGACCCTCTGACCTGAGCCCGGCCCCAGGAAAGCCCCCGCGCAGACCGGGCCAGCGTGGTCACGGCTTCCATGCTGCGCAAGACGTGCATTATTTCATATTTACTTTTACCCCCCTTCATCATTGCCACGCTCTCGCGGGCAGTAACAGCAGCTGCTCCCACACCCTCGCTACACACCCATTTGGAATCGCTCTGCGCCTTCCTCGGGGTAAATGCAAAAAGAGAATTTGGCCTAAACACCAAATGGCTTTGGGATGTGGTTGCAGGGTGCAGAGTACCTGCCAGTCTCCCCGTGAGCCCCAGCCCGCTCGCGACGGGGAACAGTTATCCCGGTGCTGCTTTAATCACCGAACCAGCCGTGCTTTGCTCGAGGCCAAATGCAGTGCCGTGCCCGCAGCGGGGCGGGAGCTGTTTTCCATAAATCACTGCTCCAAGCACGACAGGAAGGTGTGCCTGACTCAGGAATAGCCCTCGCCTCCCTCTTGCCGACCAAGGAAGCCTTCCCAGTGCCATCTACAGCCACCTCTACAGCGGATAAACGTGGCAGCCCCCGTACATCAGGCAGCCCCGATTCACCTGGGGGATCCAGAGGAGCTGCATGAAGGCACAGGACAGACGTGCAGCCACAGTCATTCTTTTTATCCCTAGAAATACACCCTACAAAGTCCTCTTTCTAGATCTTTTGATTACAGAGAATCTGTTAAGAGTAAAGAAGGGCTGAAGAGATCCCCTATAGATGGATGAGGCTACGGACTACACAGCACAGTACCCCCGCAGCCCTCCTACCCACTCCTGAGTGCATGGTGCAAGAGCTGGCAAAGGAAGGCGACCCGTCCCGGTGGCTTGGACCTGTGGGACCAGCTGGGACCACTTGTGGCCCAGTGCTACTGGAAGAAAATGGGCCCTTCATCAGGCGAAGGGAGCTGACAGCGCAGGTGAGGCGTGTGGGGTGCTGGCAAAGGGAGTCCAGGCTGTCTACCAGCCCTTCAATTCACAGCTTGGCTGCGCAGGGGACGAGCAGGACCAGCAGTCCGAGGGCCCCAACCTGGGGGTTCTCTCCATCCTTGTGCTTCAATCCCATCCCTCCAGCTCAACCGGTGTTTTCCCTGGAAAAGGCAATTGCATAAAGAAATCCACATTGGGCTAAGGAGAACAAAGCCTATGGTGAGAGCACGTTACCACACACCTGGCATCTCAGCCATACCCGTCGAGTAGAAGCTCTCCAGGAGAGCCTTGGGTCCTGTGCCAGGAGCGTCCGAGCCTCCAAGAGACCGAGTGGGACCAAGGACAAGCCACAGTGCTCTTTGTGCTTTGGTCCCCAAATTCCAGCCTCGGATGTGCTGCAGGAGGAGCTGTTTACTCCTCAAGCCGGGCCCATCACCCTGGCCCTTCAGCGGGTGTGCCACGGCGTGGGCTTGGCCAGGTATGTATGGGAGTAGCTACAGTGATGAGCAACTCCTCGGAGAGGTTCTCCTGGCTCTGAGGCAGCACGAGAGTGCACCTCAGCGGTCCTGGCACAGCCATTATGAGAGACGAGGAGGTTTAAGTCTCCTCGCCTGTTCCTTTCCCTTAGGCCAGCTTCCTTTGCATCCAGCACTGAGAAATGAGCCACCGGGCCCCGGGTGCTCAGCACTGTGGATTCCGTGTGCCAGCCCCACTGCCTTGAAAGCGCCTGGCAGGGCTGGTGGCTTTGGAGAGGATCTCAGGGCAGCTTGGGGACCGGGAACAGCAGGGACAGATGTCTAAGCTGGGATCCTGGGGGAGATGGAGGTTGGGGACAACCTGAAGAGCCATTTAGGCTGAGATCCAAGTCCTGAGGCAAGTTGGGACTGGGGACAACCTGGCCAGACATCCTTATCTTCTGGCAGGGAAAGTCCTCTCCATGGCCTGGAGGTTCCTGTGGTTTCTGATGAAGGCCTCCAGAGGTACAAGCTGCCATGTGGGCTGGAAGCGTGGGGAGGGCTGGCACATGTGCAGCGCTGACCACATTGCCCTCTCCAGCACTGGCTGAGGAACGAGGTGGTCTTCATGCAGCAGAAAGCTGAGAGGAGCGTTGTGGGAGGCAAAGACCTTGGCAGGTCTTCAAGGTGCACAGGGCACCTCTGCACACCATGCCTTTGGCCAAGTAGTCAGGACAGCTTTGCTTTGCGAGGGAGCTGATGTGCAGAAGTGGGGTGAGATGGAGCGGGAGGCAAGGCAGTGCAATATGTCCCCAGTTTCCCCGAGCAGAGGCATGAGGGGCCCTATGCTGCTGAGCCTAAGGGTGCTCACGGTGAGCCCGGAGCCACCCAGCATGCAGCCCGTGGGGGATACAAAGGCATGGGCCAGTGCCTCAGGAAAACTCAGGCAGCTCGCTTGGGCCAGGGTTGGGACACCTGGTTTAGGGCAGCTGAATCTTAGAGGGATGAAAACCAGCTCTGCGGAGCTCGGCTCCACTTTGAAGTTACCCTCCCCTCTCGCACGGGGTGATGGTTGGTGCAGAGGCACCCAGGGACCTCTGGCACAACTGAACACCCTGGGGGTGGACTGCAAGCGCAGTCCAAAAACATCCCAAACCGAGTCTAAATCCCCACCAAAACAACTGGGCATCCCCGCAGTACCCACAGCCCCTTGCATAGCCCTCGGAAGCCTGAAACCCTCCCTTGTGAGGGCAGCGCTGGCAGCGGCGCCGCTGCCCGTCCTGACGCCGTGACAAAAGCCATCTGCAATCCAGCGCCCCTGGGCGCCTGCTTTGCCAGCACCCCTGCAGCCCGGCACCGACGGCGTTTTCAGCTCCCAAACCCAGGCAGCGTGGGTGACGCTTACCTCTCCTGTCATACTCTTGCGCTTTGAGCTCTTCTCCCAGAAACGAGAGGCCTTGGTAGAAGAAACCAGAAATAACCTCTGTCCCTCTCCCAGCTGGAAGAGGAGGGGAATCCTGGTCCCTGAGTCGTTTCTGTTTCTTATCCAAGATAAAACCATATTAAGTCTCCTGGTAGTAACTCTCACTCAGCGGTGGAAACCAGCTCACGCACATCGCTTTTTGCAGACGCTTGCATCTAGAAGGTGGCTTAGTTTCATTTAGAGCCGTTCCCCTAAGCCGTGCAAGCAGCCCTTCCTGCTCTCTGCCCAGCTGTTCTCACAGGCTATTCTGCAGGAGAAAAAGGCTTCTCCACTGGATAATTTCAAGAGGAGAAACCTTGGACAGGCTTTCCAGCCCAGCATCATCTCAGCCAAGGACACACTTCCCCAGTTTCCAGCCTAGCCCCGCTGTGCGGCTCTGGGGGATGGAGGAGCTGTGCAGCACCGTGAGGATTTTGGACCTGGCTTACCGTGAGTGTACCCCGAGGAGCTGCACACGGCGTCAAGGTGGTCTGCAAAAAACACTCAGCAAAACTGAATCCGAGTCACCGGGAAGCACAGGCATGGCAGTACCGCTACAGTGGTCCAGAAGAGAAATTTGGGAAGAAAACCCCATTTCAGTCGGATAACGGAAAAGTACTTTTAATTATTTTATTCGGGATAGTTTGGATTTATTCCTGACAATAGCTCTGGAAGCAGGAGTTTGTGACGGAAGTCTTTGGAGACCAACAGTTAGAAAGAGGCAAATCAAACAACCAGTGCAAACATCCACAGGATTACGCATACGATAATTCACAGCAAATTGTAGGAGAGGATTTAGGCACAAAACCAATACCCGAAAAACCAATGTCATAAATACCTGCTCAGTTTGCCTGCTTAAAACAAGGACATGTGCTTTTCCTGAGGTGCTTCCAGGCAGCATGCTCTCCCCAGAGTCTCAATGGCAAAGAACCTCTTCTTGGCCTCGCAGGATGGGAACAAGCCCAGGATTCCCACTGCACTCGGCCCAGACAGCCCAAACTGTCTTTTCCAGTGTGTGCTGCTGGCACATATGTGTCAGTTGCTATTTCGGGCTTTCTAGATAATGAGCGTGGGGAAGTGCACCCAGAAGCAAAAAGCAGAAGAGCTCTCGGGACAAGTTGCCACCACCAGACCTGAAACAATCCGGCGGTTATTTCTGCATTGGCTGGTGCAGCCGAGCAGTCTTCAAGGCGAGCCCAAACAGACTTGCAGGGCAGAAATCTTGCTGGAGGTGCCAAAGGTGAGCTCAGGTATGAGCTCAGAAGAGCAAAAGCTCAGGAACGGGTCCAAAAAGCAGTCTCTGGGGTGCGTGGTCACGTAGGAGCTGGAGAAAGCAGAGCTCTGACCGCCCAAACGTTTGGGGCATGAGGAGCCATAAATTCTCTCAATTCTCCCAGGTGTCCGGCACAGCCTCTGCTCTGCACACCACCAGCCAGGACCAAGAAAAGCAAAGAGCTAAAGACTGTGAGCCTGGAGAAGGAGTGAGACACAGCTACGTGTACTGTAGGGACAGTGACCCAGTTACTATTTCCTCCTCCTGTTTATATCCCGTAGCGTCTGTCCTCCTCTCACAACTCCTTAATGACAAAGTATCCCAAATGAGCATGTGAGGAACAAAGCACCTCGCAGTTAATAGGAGGTTTCTTGGGCTTTGTTGCCTGTGCCTTATTCACAGAACATTAGGAACAAGTGAAGCATCTGGAGGAGAAGAGAGACCACGTTGCAGAGGAGCCTGGGCTGCCATCCCTCTACCTTGAGCAGGACAGGGTCAGTGCAGGCCTGAGAAAGGACACCTTGACCACAGCCTGCTGTAACGTACTGCTCCATAAGCCCAGAATTTTGCAAATCCTGAGAGCAGGACTTGGTCTCTGCAGTATATCACTACAGCAGGTTGACTTTGGCCACGACCTGCTTGCAGCCCATCCTGGAGTACTGCTTGTCCCCTGTAGTGTAGTAACTGAGCTGACTCGCTAAATTTTCAATGTGCTTCTGGTCAGGATACAGCCCTTCCCTCCTCATCTCCTCTAGGAAGCAGTTTATGACGTGAGTCTTCTCCAGAAGAACAAATGGGATGATGTCCGCAGATTTCCAGAGAGGGTGGACATCGATCAGTACAGGCTGGACAACGCCCAGCAGTTCTTCAACTCCCCTTTGCTGATGCAGAAGCTCAGCAGACGCATTCTGGATAACAAATTTTGTTATTTCACCACCTCCTATGTTGCTTATTAAAATGTAGATGGCATTGAGGAACTCATTGGTTTGATTGGGCTCGAAGAATCTGCTGAGAGTATCCAGCAGGACTGGAGACATGAGTTCAACCTCATCCAGAATAAACAAGGGTATCTTCTCCTCTATTTCGGCTCTTGTAACCATGTCAGAAATCTTCTTAGACAAATCTATTTCACAAGTAAGGGGAGCCACCCCATTGGGGCAGTGATGCATAACGAAGTACTGAAGCACAAAGTCATTGTCCATGACGGAAAGAAAATGTTTGGCCAGCAGCCAGCCAACATGACTCTTCCCAACTCCTGTTGGGCCATTTAAAGAGATTACTAGAGGCTTGTTGTGTATGTGGGTAGCCAGATAGTCTTTCAGTAATTCCATAATACTTTCCACAGCAAACTTCTGCCCAAATACTTCCCGGTGCATTGTTTTCTCCAAACCATCTAGGTCGTATTTTTGGAGGTTATCATCCAGGTTCTCTATTGCATTGAGAATCTGGAAGAAGATAATGACAATGAGCAAGAGGAGGCAGCGTTTTGCCTTGCTCTTCTCCTCTGTTGGAAGGTATCTTTTTGTTTTATCTGGATAGAGGACCATCCTAGATTTCCTTCGACTCTTTTTCCGCCTGCATTTTTTCATAGCATACTGCTCCCCAGATGTGTCAAAGGTAAAGTACTGGGAAGTTTCAAAACCGGTCTGATTAAAGAAGGGCATGGAAGAGCCATACAGGCTAGTTCGGTTCAGGGAAAGCTGCCTTTGTAGCAGCCTCGTATGGACAAGCTCTGAAGACTTTTCTCGAGGGAGCTCTAAATGCAGACGGCTTTTCTTTTGCACCCGGTATCGTCGCCGCAAGCGGATGATTGCCCGCAAGGGAGAAGAAATTGAAGACATTTTCTTTGAAGCAGCAGGTATTTCAGTATCCGGTACTTCTTCCCCGTCACTCTCATAGCAAGATGCCTCTCCTTTTGCATCACTCATGGCACAGGGCATTCCCCCTTCCCCGTTGCTGCCAGGCACCACTCCTTCCACACTGCTCTCAGCACAAGGTGCCTCTTCTTTTGTGTTGGTCTCAGCACAGGGCATCTCTCCTTCTGCATCGCTCTCGGCAGAGGACACGTCTCCCTCAGTATCACTCCCCACACAGGGCATCTCTCCTCCCAGATCCTCCGGGGCAGAGGACACTTCTCCATCCACCTCAGCGCAGGGCAGCATTCCGTCCATCTCGCCTGGTTCTTACAGCCCATTCACATCATCATCTTTCTTAAAAAAAAAAAAAAAAAAAGAACAATGTAAAATTAATCTTTGTAAGACCAGGAAGTGACCGATAACAGCCGAATTAGACAGACACTCCACTTTCTAACAGGTATATCAGTCACCTGTAGCAACCAGCAATGGCAAGGCGGCAGAGAGACTCTCAGACCTAAGCTAACTTTCTGGAAGACACTCTGGATAGGCAAAAACTACCGTGTAAATAAATGCAAATCAATGCATGTTACAAAACCAACCCTGCCCTCGCACGCGGAAGGAGAGCTCGGAGCTGGCTGGAGCCAAAGCCAAGGGCTCTGCTCCGTGCTGCCGCCAGCAAGGGCAGG